TCCCCCCCCCCCCCCCCCCCCCCCCCCCCCCCCCCCCCCCCCCACCCCCCCCCCCCGCCCCCCCCCCCCCCCCCCCCCCCCCCCCCCCCAGAAAAAAACTGAGGTTATACGGAAACTGGTTTATCTACGTTTCGTGGCTTCACATGTGTACTGGGACGAGTTAATCTGGTCAAATTTCGGGGGGTAATTTTACTCCAATTTTTTTGCTACTTTTCTACTTTTTTCTATAGACCACGGACCGGCCGTGGCGTCCTAAGATAAGCTCGCGAGCTTGTGTTTAGCAGAGTGTTCTGTAGATTTTGGCAAAGTCTACGATGCCTATCTCATCTAGAGATATATCTACGGTCCTCTGTATGCTCTAGCCATAGCTAGTGCCTAAAGGAAGGATGTAAGAGGTCTAAAGCACCTCCTACTACTCTACTTCCTAGGATTTAGTTGGACCTAATGGCCATCACTTGTATCCGAGCTGTCAGAGCCCGACGAGCCTCGCCGCTCTGCGCTCTCCTCATCGTTAGCACTCTTTTTAGGGTCCGTGAAGATAATGAGACAATTTTGGCAGCGAGGCGTCGTCTGATGAGGACAGTCCGGTCTGTGTGGATTTGAGCAAAGGCTACCGCTGCTACGCCATTGGCACTGGCAGCATACGAACCCAAGGGGTTGGTGGAATTCCGTCATGGGAATACTAGGAATCTCCATATTAGTGGCGTTGTTGGCGTTGGAAGAAGAACTCATTGTCCTTAGTCGCTTGGAGTGAAATTGAGTAAAGCTGGTAGTGATTTTGAAGAAGATTATGTTACAGATTTCAGAATATGGAATATGTCGCAGGCTCTTAAAGAACTGGTCGATGTGATGGAGAAATTTTTGACAGCCATGTACGGAACAGCCTCCTTAAGTAAGTAAATTAAACAAGTATTGTCCAAAATCATCGTCGTCGTTTCATGAACAAATCCGTACCTGGTTATATTCATGAATAGATTCGTAGATCGGGAACAGCAAATTTGAACCTTTAAAGGTGATGGTTATATAAGTGACATCTTAGCGGCTAGTCAATTTGATTACCCCAGCCAAGTATTATATATATATGTTTCCCACGGAAATTTAGATCAAGGAGCCTTGATTTACCGCTATGTTCCTTTCTTCACGCAGAGAGATGTCTCGCAAGTCTTAAATTGGTACTTCCTTCCCGCGGGTTCAGCCGGAATCACGGAGTTCTTGTCTTGAATATAATAGCAGCTCACAAAGTTGACTGTTAAAGGAAATTCTCTAAAGACTAAGTTACGGACTCTGATTAAATACAAATATTTCCTGTTAGCTTGCTTGTTACAGAGGACAAATGAGGCCTCACATTATATCAGCATTGATAGGGAGGACAAGCCATCGAAATTGTCATCAGTTATGTCAAAACTTGATACTATGACAGGAGTAAGTTATATGTCTTGCCTAATCAAACTCCTTTGAAGTTCCTTTATGTTCCGATTGAATTGGCAACTGTAGCCTGAAACTTTTTTTTCGTATTCCTTCTATCTTTTAGTTTTTATGAGATCTGGGGTCTTATATAGGTGGCGGTAGGGATAACAACGTACTAAATGGCCAATATGAGTTAAGAGAACACCATTCGGGGGGGCTTACATTGACTTAGTACTCTTTTTTTAGCCTCTTAAACTCAATCGTAAATTTTGCTTATAGTGCTGCGAAGTAAAGCAAGTTGGGTTGAGTACGTTGTTGCTGGCTTGTTATTAGGTATCAACCCTATCCTCATGGTCTCATGAAGATGTTATGATCACGTTAGAGAATTAACTTGCAGAGAATGACCCTAAATATATGGAATACCAACCCCACAAGCAGAAAACACAATGACCTGCCTCTATGATAGATGCCTAGCATGTCTCAGAAACTGAGCCATATAGTCTTGGAAGATGGCCAATGATGAATGGTGAGATAAGGAGGACTTTCGGACCCTTTAATCATTCTCTGGAATGTCTAGCTGTGTTTCTCATTCGGTTATTGTAGAGTCTAGGCACCCAATGACGATGCCTTTCTAGGATGTATTAAACCTAGACAAACCATGCAGAAGCACATTGCAAGTAAAATTCCTAGAAGTTTCTGAAAACAAAATCTTGACGGCGAAATGGAAAAAGGAGGGTTGGATAGAGTTGTTAAATGATATATCTGTTTCGGTTCTATAAACGAATCTATCTGATAGCAGACGTGTTTAGCTTTTCAACGTTGGCCGAGATTGACTAAGGATAGCCTGTGTATGACTGAGTGGACTAGAAGGCGTGAAAACAATGTCCAATTTCCTTATTCCGCGAGGAACTCTAAAATAAGCTCATTGCCATACTTAATGAAGTATCCTTTGTTCTAGATGTCTGGTCTGGAATCCTAACACTAAGCTATAAGTGGCGAAAAGGACACACATCAAGTAACAATACTACTATTTATTCGATACCCGCACGTGTTTTCGCAACCAGGTATCCTTTCTTGGCTGATACATGAGGAGTGGTCGAAATAAGCCGACATTCTTCGCTCTATTAATACAGGGCCTTTGATAAGCTCGAGGGTTTAATTCACGACAAGCATGACCTGAAAAGATAGGACGGCATCTGAACTGCGTCAAACCTAGAAAATTACTCTATGAAAGCTTAATGACGCGATTGAAGATATATTAGATGGAGTTTAGGGTTTCTAAGTGATCCGAATGGGATCTACCTTGTGGTTGTGAACTTTAGACCCATCGAGCCTATTTATTAAATATATTTTCTCGGGGGCAATACATTCAGTTCAATCTATATTGTAGATAGTATAAACTGGTTGGTGGAACTTCAAATTCTTCTAGCAGTATCTCTACCGATTAACCCGATATACGTGTTAGATCCGTGCTCTTCTTAATCAAGCCGACCGGCAACGATGGAGTAGTAGCACCGAGGCCGAGGCCGAGCCCGGTACTCCGGTAGGTCCGGCTATGTGATAGAACTACGCCGCTACGTAGCCGTGGTAGCTAAGACCGCTAGACCGCATTTGATCGACAATTCGGAGGAAAGGTTGTGTTTACACATCTGGATCTTATTAGGTTAGGCAAGGTTCTGGAATCTTGGACGTCTTAACCTACCTAGTATGCGCCGTTGCGGTGAGACGCCACAAGCCTCGGTGCGGGAAGAAGCGCTCCCACGTTTGGTCCACGCCCTGTTTCTGTAACGGCTGCTTATGATTCACTTACAAAACATAACATATCTGATGGTAATCTCGGACGATAATCTTATCTACCAGCCAAGACTATCCATACCAAGCGGATACTGCTGGCCAGAGCGTTTTGCGGTGAGAGCCGCAACAGGCTGAGCTATTTGAATTTCTATGCCATGGTGGGTGACGTGGACCAACCTTTGGCCTGCAGCATTACGAGACTAGGTATCGGAAAAATGGGCCAATACTGGTCTTAAGCCAAGGAAGATATGCTCGGTGAACGGCTTAGTGGCTGGCTGTTCGTCTCTTTGCATACCTTGTGTAGCTCTGATTGAGTTCTGACCACAAAGTCTTTCGATCGAAGGGATAGGAATCCTGTACTCGAGCTGTTCCGAGGTGCTGCATTTACCAAGTCGCCGTAACTATGGAACTTGAAATAATAAAGAATTGTCGACAAGTATCGCCTTGTCTTCTTGTGTAGTGTATGTATGTATTTGAAAAGTTGCCGTTGCCGATGCCGGCAAGCTTCAGATCCAAATCTACTACTAACCTAACCCTCTCTCCACACTTGATGATCCCTGGCAGCTCGGCAATCTCGCCGTAAAGTCTGATCAAGTCTGGTATGTTGAACTGATTCGACAATGCGTGCCAATTCTTGCTTGCCTCGCTTTAAATCTAAAGCGTGCTGCGTAGGCACTCCAAGCGGTGTATCTGCTGGGTCGTGCGTAGGCAGCTGTGGCCGACGCGTCGCATGACTTGCAGCGATAATGATGGAGATAATGATGGAGCAGTGATCCTTTCGGTAAATTTATGGCACTTCCAAGTGAGGACGAATATGAAGCGGTGAAATATTTTGGCCGCATAACTTAGGCGCTCACCATGTATCCAATTTGTTAGATCCCAGCCCTCTGATTTTTTTCCGTCAAGGGCTAGTCTTGATCACGAGGGACAATTGTCGGTGGGTTGTAGAAATCTTGTCTATATTCATTGTTAGTGTGCCCTAACTATACGCTTAACGAGAGTATCGTGAGCGGTTATTTGGTCTAGAATCTAAGGGGCGAGTAGTAGTTAGGTCCGTCCGAGTCAGCTGGCCAACAATGCAAGAATAAAACTGTATTGACTCGAGTATGCAGACTATGATAGTGTAATTTTACCACGGGAGTCCAGACAAATTTGTATCTCGCGTGACCTCAAAGCTAGGCTTTACTACATGTTAACGCCGGCTCTAGCGGTGTTTAGTATTTTATTACGTAGAAGAGGGGAAATTCAGGGGACCAAACTTATTCAGCCCTATGCTTAGAACCCATAGTGTATTGTACAGGGACAATTCTTCTAGAATTGTTCCAGCATGGAGAACTAAACTTAGAGGGAACTATTTGGCCTTTATTCGCAAGTAAATGATGTCGCTAGATATAACTTTCGCTTGGTAGATTCATTTAGTACTGGGTAGTAGAGACTGATGCCTCTGGGAAGCGGAAGATCCGTTCCCACATGGCGTTTCGTGACAATCGGGAAAAATGATATGGTTATCCAAAGGATCAGCAAAATCTCAAACAGCAAATCCCCATAAAAGCCTGCACTCACACGGTCTTCCAGCAAGCGGGGTATTGATGATAGTTATTGTATTTAGGTAAAACAATGGTCACGAGAAATTCCATAGTCTTAATGTAGGCGAGGGCGGAACTAGAAGAACTCCCCGAGCTTCAATGAACCAATGAATACCCCTTAGAGATCGGGCGCAGTCGTGGGGAAGAGGAGGGGTTCTCCATCAAATAGGGAAAGTCATATTGGGCACTACCACCAGGGTCCTTGAAGGGTCCTTGAAGGACCCTTTAGACATTGGTACCTGGTAAATAAATTAACGGGCAATCTAATTTGGTTAGGGAGAAAACGCCTCCGGAATACTAAAGGGGGACCCTGATTTGATCCAAGCACCTAGGCAGTCGGATGAGGAAGCTATCAGCAAGGCAGCGCATCAACGGGCGGGAGGGCCGGCAAAGGAGAAACATCCTAAGCGATAGACCCCATGAGGGAATACCGAAACGTGTGGGGTTAGGAGCTGGGTAAGAAGCTGAACGCATGTCAGTTGTTCTGCGAGTAAGAGTTGCTGTTGGGAGGGTTCTGATTGGAGGATTGGGGTTGTTTCGCATCTTGGGAGTTCTATTCGAAGCTCCCGCGGGCCGTCCCCCTGTTAGGTAGTCTGGTAAATTGCTCATTGGCATGTTAGAGGAGTTGGTAGGCTGATGACAATCGGCCGCGCTGGCGAAGGACGATTGGGCAGACTGGCAGAGTGGCAGAGCAACATTTGATAGCCAGCAACATCTCTGATCTCTGAGGTACTTTAAGGTGCTACTCGAGGTAAAATGCTGAGTGCGACCTACATATGTAAGGTTGGGCACTTATCTTACTACTATGTAGGTGATCGGACTTTCACCTGGCTGGCTGAGCATTGCCATTGTCCACTAGATGACGGCAAATTATATTAGCAGCCCCTCGGTAGTAGAGTAGTACATAGTAGATTCGATGTGATAGGAATTGGATTGTGATATCCATATATTTGATTGCTATGTACGGATTATTTGCAACTATGTAGTATATGTAAAAGGAGGTGGGCGATCTACGTGTGCCACTCGACATGTCGAAAAGTAATAAGAGGCGACAGAGACAAATATTTGAGGAATATCAGATAAGGAAAAGGATCTGAAGAGGATTGACAAGATTGGAATTGGGAATTGAGT